AGCAGCAGCAGCAGCCTTCTGTCATCCAACAGCGCTCCAGTATGTACATGCAGCCCTTGTATTATAATCAGTACGCGTACGTCCCCCCCTACGGGTACAGTGAGCAGGCCTATCACAACCACTTGATGAACACCAACCCGGCGTACAGGCAACAGTACGAGGAGCGGCAGCGGCAGGCAGTGGAGCAGCACCGAGCAGCGGAGAAGAAGTCGGATGCAGCCCTCAAAGAGAGGGAAGCGTCGATGAAGGAGGATTGGAAGCAGAAGGCCTCCATTCCTCCCACCCTCTCCAAGGCCCCCAGCCTCTCAGATCTGGGCAAGCCCTTACCCCCCAGTAAAACAAAAGACTCTGCTTCAGAGCCAACCAAGTCGGTCATCATCCCCAAGGGGGAAGACTCCTCCAAGATCCAGTCCCAGCAGGCTGAGGGGCTGAAGATGAAGCTGAGTGAGGGGGGCCATCATGGGAAGGAGGTATCTGAGTCCAAATCAGGCCTGGAGTCCAGTAGGCAGCCAGGGATGGAGCAAAGCATGTGGTACAGACAGGTAACCAGTGGGATTTTGGTTGTGGAGTGCAGGGGGTTTCCAGTCCTGGTCCTGGTGATCCACACACCAGCTGGTTTTCATTCCATCAAGCCATAATTAAATAATTGGACTTACGTGAGCTAAGAAGTTGCATCAATGTAATATTTGCATTTTGTTTCTAGTCACAAGTCTGGGATTTTATTTCTCATACAAAACACAACGGTTGAAGCTCCGATATGTTTAAGAGCTGAGTTCTCATTAATCTTCTTCTTATTAAGTCAGTGAAGGGTTTGGTAGTGGAACTGAGGGCACAGCTGGAACAAAAACTAACAGGTGTTTGGGTCACCAGGACCAGGACAGGAAACCGCTGGTGCAGAGCTAGAAAAGTGAATTTGGTGCCTCGGCCTTACAATTACACTTCCTTTTTCACCACGTGGATATGGTCCCACCCCCGAAAGAGACTGTCTATGTTGGTGGTACTTTTAAAGTCCTGTTTATTTTTACATGTGAAACCTTACCGAAGTGGTACAATAAAATATGTATCACAGGCTCTGATTTAAAGTTTAACTATCTGTAATTTCAGCTTCTTTCCTGTTGGTCAATTGAGAAATTAGTATTCATAGTAAATGTCTGAGTGCAGTGTGATTTGTTTCCTTTTAACAGTTTACTAATAATAGAATACTGAATCCAGAAGGAGTCTAATAGAGAATAGAATAATATTTTGAGAGGAATATAGCCTTGGGCACAGAAGTCTTTCTGGCCGATGAGAGCCATGTGAAAATCTCTGTCGTGGCAATGATTGAATAATGAGCTCGCCTCAAATCAAAGTTTAATGTGAACAAGAGTGAGAGGTCTTTAGGTAGACGCTTTGGAAAAAGATGAGATGAGTGGAGCCCGTGGGGTTCAGTGAAATCGTCAGTGTTCTGAATTTCTTCAGTAGATTTTGAAGATTCAAGTTCTGACGCTGAGGCATTTCTTCTCAGGAGGCGGACTCCAGGCTGTGGCCCTACATCTACCCCAACAAGTACCCCGACTCGCAGAAGCAGCAGCAGCAGCAGGAGGAGGAGCAGCAGCAGCGCTGGAAGGAAGAGCGGGAGCGGGAGAGGAAGGGCAAGGAGGAGAGGTCACGGCCCAAGGAGACAGCAGCCAAGGAAGAGAGCAAAGAGAGCATGGACCCCCGGGCGTCCATGCCCTCCTCCGAGGAGCACCGCGGGGCAAGCAAGGACCCCCGGCCCACTGCCCACATGCAGTTCTCCTCTCCGCTGGCACAGCACCAGTCCTACATGCCCTACATGCATGGGTACCCCTACGGTCAAGGCTATGACCCCAACCACCCTGGGTACCGGGGGATGCCTTCCGTCATGATGCAGAACTACCCAGGTGAGAGGGTGGGGGTTCTCTGTTTATGCTGAGCTATAAAACAAACATGGATGCCACAGTGCCTGATCTGATTTCTTTTGTCTCAATAACTCTGCTGGACTTTGTCTGAATGGTAATTGACTACTGGTGTATCTTACGTCACTGTACAGGATTACAGGATTTTAGATGGATTCCTTTTCATAATATTTGCATTTCAAAACATGAATAGCTCCTTTCGCTTACATAGCGTTTTTCTGGACACTCCACTCAAAGCTCTTTACAGGTAATGGGGATCCCCTCCACCACCACCAGTGGGGATCCCACCTGGATGATGTGACAGCAGCCATAGTGCGCCAGTACACTCACCACACACCAGCTCTCAGTGTGGAGGAGAGCAGAGTGATGAAGCCAATTCATAGAGGGGGATTATTAGGAGGCCATGACTGGTAAAGGCCAATGGGAGACTTGGCCAGGACGCCGGGGTTACACCCCTACTCTTTTCAGAAACACCCTGTGATTTTTAATGACCACAAACAGTCAGGACCTCAGTTTTACATCTCATCCGAAGGACAGCGCCTGTTTACAGTATAGTGTCCCCATCACCATACTGGGGCATTAGGACCCATACAGAACCACAGGGTGAGCACCCCCTACTAATCCCACTAACACCTCTTTCAGCAGCAACCTGAGCTTTTCCAGGAGTCTCCCATCCAGGTACTGGCCAGGCTCATACCTGCTGAGCTTCAGTGGGGAGCCATTTGGGAGCTGCAGTGCGATAGAGCTCCTGGAGAGGGTTCTTCTTGCGATCTGACACTGGTCTGTCTTTCAGGGTCATACCTGTCTGCGGGATATTCCTTCTCCCCATACGGCAGTAAGATGGCCGGCTCAGAAGAAGGAGAGAAGTCCCGGGCCAGTCCCACTGTGAGCAGTAAATCCAGCTCCGAGTCCAAGGCCCTGGACATCCTCCACCAGCACGCCAGCCAGTACAAGAGCAAGTCCCCGACCGTCGGCGACAAGCAGCCACACGAACGGGACAGGGTGGCGGGGGAACGGGAGCGCGAGATGGACCGGCCGCGCTCCTCCCCCTCCCAGCGCATCATGCCCTCCCATCACCACCTGGGCTACCCCCTGCTCTCAGGACAGTACGACCTGTCCTACGCCACAGGTCAGCGGCTCCCCCCGCCAGGGCCTCCTGCTGCAGAGGAGAGCTGGTATTGAGAGTTGTCAGGTTATAGTCAGTTTGACAAGAGAAAGTAACGTGCGTGAAACAGATCAGCTAGATCAGATTGGTAAAGACATTCATGAAGAAATTTCTCCAGCCAGATCACAGGGCAGGTAGACAAATCTATAAGCAGTCGGTAAGAAGTTGTTTTATGAAAAACAAACATCTTGGTGCTATTAAGTAAAGGTAGTGTATTTAAGGAAATTCAAGGAAGACATTAGTTTGAAGCACAAAATAATAAACTAGTATTGATCTGTACAACCTGTTTTGGGTTTCAGATAGCCTTTGGCTTGAGTTCATAATATTATATATTTGCCATCTTTTTTTTTTGGAAGGAAGTTAGCATCTTCGATGTGCTTAGTTTGATTTTTTGCCACTGCTTGCCGTCTGTGAGCTGTGCACTGTTCTGACTGGTCTTGAATTTCTTCTCCCAGGTCTCTCTTCTTCAGCCATTGTTGCTAGCCAGCAAGCCTCAGCCCCCTCCCTCTACCCCCCAGCACGGAGGTGAGAATGGTAAGGAGCTTAGAGAATCTCTTGGACCATGTTGACAAAGTAGCTGTCCTCTTCTAATCCATGTTTCAGAAGCTGCAAATAACACAACACAACAATATGATGTCTCTACAAAAGCTGTTGTGTAATTTCTCCTTCCTGTCACAAAGTTCAGCCGTCTCAGACAATCAGAAATAGAGGTTTCAGAGAATGTCTTTTTAGAACACAGTTTCAAAATGTCTTCCATTTTTGTCTGTGGCTTTTTAGTCAAAGCATACCAAGACAGGACTTTGCTTCCTGTCTATTGTAACTATGGCATGTCCCTCTAAAGTTAAACTTCTGAATGAATATAGTACATCAAGACCTTGAATACAAATTATACCTTCAATATACCACAGGCTCTAATAGGAATATTACGGATATGGATGTATAGTTACAACCATTAAGACAATTTTATGTAGCTCTTAAGAATTGGAAATGATTGTAGCACTGTTACATTGAAATAGATTTGTCTCAGTTTTATGGGACAAGTAGCTCATATTTTGAAACTGAACAGAAACGAAAGCTGTTAACTTTCTTTCTTGTCCACTGTGTGCAGACATTATCTGCTTCCACTCTGAAAAGTTTTTTTTCCTTTTATTCAAGGCATTAGAATTGAGGATGTGCTCTCAGTCGGCTGTCGAGCTGTGTTTCATTTTTCACAGAGACAGTCCATTAAGGACAGGGGAAGCGAGCACATCGCTGACTAATAATAGAAGGATAGCTGATCGTGACTGCTCCTTCTGGCTAGAGATGAGGTGATGCTGACCTCTGGTGGAAGTCGTTTCTAAAATAGTCCTCTATTTCTTATATCTAAACCTGCACACTTCAGCAGAAAAAATAAGATTTGCCATAAATGTATATTCAGATATATTTTAATCTAATTAATTAATTAGAAGCTTTTTAATATTCTGAAGTATTTTTTGGATAAAGCACAAGATTTTCTTTTAAGATATGGAATAATGCACAAAGAAAAATAATTTGTCCGAAAATTTGATTTTACATCAATGCCACAGTTCTCTGCTGTCCTGAGATGTGACCTTTGTACTGAGATTGATCGGCTCGGTGACCTAAGGTGGGGTTGTAACCTAGTGATGTTTGTTTCTTGCAGGGAGACCTGATTGGTTCAGCTCAACCTGGAAAGGAGTCATGTGACTGGATCACATGAGGAAGAGTGTGGTGTTCATTTAGACATCAGTTAAATGGTGTTTCTGTATTTTAGTTTCTGCCTTGATGTCAGGCAGACTGTTCTTCTTCTAGCGTCTATAACTTCTCCACTGCGGACTGAGAGCTGGTAAAAATCAAAAGCCATCTGTCTCTGTTGACACACAGATTTAGCCACTTAACCTTTTCTTTGCACTGTTGATGAGATTTGCAAAAAAAGAAGAAAAAAACTGCCAGGAAAGACTATTCTCTTTTGATAGCATTATTTTCACATTTGCAGCAATCGGGGGGAAATAAAATCACTACTCTGAAACTCACTGACCTGGGCCTTAGATTGCAGCTTGACAACGGAACAGATACAGTATCCCTTTTTTGAGGACTTCAGGATGTGGCAACCTTTTCGTTGTTTTCAGAGAGTGAGAGAGACAGTCGCAGGCACCGAGTGCCATCTTCTCAGCCCACCAACACGGTTCTCTATGCAAGCTGAATTGTTCTTTTAGAGATATTACGGGATGCATTTCTGAGACCTCGCCCACACGTGTGTCTTCTGTTCTGAATTGGTGCATCGTTGATGTTTTTGGAGAAAGGATAATACCTTACTTGTACAAGTAAGGTATCTGCCCTCATCAAGTTCAGGTGAAAATGCTGTAACGCTTTTTAGAAACATTTCCGTGCATGACAGCATGGCTCTCCATAGATGACCTTCAAGTTCCTTTTCCTACTTTTGACTATTTCCACCTTTTGTTTTACTGCCTCACAAATATCAGGCCATCTCAGTCTTACCCAGCGGCCAGGGATTTCAATCCATGGGTTAAGTCAGACACTAGACTGAGGTTGCTGTGCTGGCTAGGTGGTGCTACGGTGACTTCCAGGAGGGTAAACAAGTTTACAGCAACATCAATGCATCAGTTTTGAACCACACTGTGTTAAAAGGTTAGCCACGATAAAAAAGGGATAGTGTGTCTATGTGTGTGTAGGTGCATTAGTCTGTTCGGAAAGTGCCAGACCTGTCGTCTGACGCTCTTGAGGCATCCTTTGTGGATGTCTTAAGCCACAGTTGTTTAAGTTCTAAGGGAAGCCATAGCAGAGAGAATGGGGACACAGTGGGAAAAATACACATCGGAGCCTTGGCCTGCTAGGAGACACTTCCAAGCAACGTCTGGAAAAAGCTGTTGACATGAGACTTTCCATGTCCTAGTACAAATTGGGAGGGATCTTTGTAGATAATTACAACCTGGAAGATAAGCTCAAAACTCTCGTTTTGTAAAGGTCTGTATATTGGTATTGAAGCCTTTGGGAAAATGTTTTCTACCCTCTTCTGTTTTCCTAAGCATTTGTGCTTTGAGTAAGGACATTTCCATTTTTCTTCGAGGGTTGAACATTGATTACACACCTCTGAAGAAACAGAGAGGAGCAAGGAACATTAGAAAATGTCCTTGTGTTTCCAACTAGATTTTTTATTAGCATTACTTCCAGGTAACATGACCTTAAACAATCTAATCATTTTTTAGCCCTTTTAGACTGTTGAAATGCAGTGCTCTGATCTTCAGGTACCTCCTTGTCATATAACTACTTGGCAACTGTCAACAAATTAGGACACACTAATTGGAATTCGTCCAATAGTTGGATGGCTAAAAGCACTTCAGTGCTTAATGCTGTGGATCCTGATATTTATCCTGTGCCACTTCACATCTAAGCAGTAGCCCCAGTTTCTCTGTTGTGAACTTTCTCATGGTGTAATATAGCACTAAAAGCATTAACCTACACAATGTTCTTTCTGCAAATCGAGCTGTACAAGTTTGTCACCCTTTCACGTCTCTCTCCCATACTTACTATGTGGTTTCTGTATATATTGTACAGAGGAATTATTTTAAAAGGCTGTTGGATGCTATTGGAATTTTCCTACTTTTTATGTCTTTTTTTTTTCCTTTTCTCTTTTTTTCTACCATTGTTAATATAAAATGAAAAAAAACTGTAGCTGGTGTAACGGCTTTATATTTGAAGTGTTGTGATTTTTTTATTTTTTGCTTTCTCTTGATGTTTGTACCCTATTCATTTGCCCTCCCACTTTCAGATATAGCCACTGTCAGCTGACTTTGATCACCAGACCTTCCAACCCTGAGAACATGTTTTATAAAGGAAGAATCTAAACAGTGTCCTGAGTGTCAGGTCTTTCCCCCCCCAATTTAAATTCCCAGTTTTCTTTTTATCAAATCGGTTCATTTAAACTCTTCATTTAAATAATGACTTCTCTTTGTTTTTGGTTTAAGTGCTCTAACTTAAAGACCGCCCTTTCTGTATGTCTTCAAATGATTAACTTTGCTTACAAATAATCTGTGTTGATCAGTGCACCACATTGTGAAACACTTGGGCACCATGTGCATACTGTGTGCAGTAATTTATTCTGCATACTTTGCTTGCAAATGGTAAATCAGATACTTTGCATTACCTTTTTAATGAGCAAAACCTTTTTACCCTTAAAGCTGTACTAATAAATCTAGCCCAATGGCCAGTCCACTTGGTACCAGAATGTCCACGCTGTACAAGTGTCTAAAATAAACTAGCATGCATATCTTGACTCACGTTTGTCCTGATTTTCTAATGGTATTTTCTGTAGAGAGAGGCGCTTGCTTGATCTTCTGCTGTTGGATCCTTTCAAATATTTTGAGGCACCTGTGAGAGAGAAGTTTTTGGGGAACAACCATGAGATGTAAATGACTGTACTGACTTTGTCTTCCTATACACAGCCTTGAGAAATATTTAACACCAGGACTTGTAGATAAAAGTATGTGAGTAAATATCAACAAAAGGATTTAATTTGCTACATTAAAAATTCTAGACGCTTGTACTTGCAATGTAATCATAAAAATGGAATGATTACATTTAAAAGACAGTAAATCTGTGATTGTGCTGGGATTTGCCCTTTGCAAGCAGTTTGATTAATTTTTCTGGTGCTTGTGAAGTTCTCTGTGGAACCTTGCAGTCCCTCTGCACAGGAAGCTCCTCTGATGTAATTGGAAGTTGAGCAAGTGGCAGGAAAAACAAAAACAAAATGCAAAAAACTTTGCCACTCAGATTCATTTGTTTTGTAAGCCAGGGGTTGGAAAACTATTTGAAGACAAGCACGCTTGAAGAACCAAGAATGTTTCTTGGTCCGTCTCAAACATTTCACTTAGGCCCTGCAGTTGGGATTGTAAGGGATGATCTTTAATGGTCATTTCAATGTTCCAACATCTGGAGTTTAGAAGAAAAGGGCGTTTTGAAGTTAGAATTACACAGATTACAAATCGCCCAGTTTTGTATACAGTAAAGGCTTGGAAGCTTCTAGTAGCATAAGAAATAGAAAGAATCTCTCTCTCAGAACATGTGCTGCCACATCTCTGGCACCAATGTATGTTGTATTTTCTGGTTTTGTTGGAAGTCCATGGCATAATGTGTGAAAGGTCACTGTGTACCCATTATCATTTTCCTTCTGAGAGCAGCATCAGGACAGGCTTTGTGTGGAGATACTGACCTACCAGTGCTTAGTGAATAGAGGTCCGAATTGGATTTTTACACAACTTAATCTTTCTCATTTGTTTGAAAGAGTTGATTCCTGTTTTGAAATGCAGTTCAGAATGGACGCGCACTCTTCCGTGACGGTTTTACTCAATTAGGGTAAAGTAGAAGCCACCGATGCATCAGTCAAAAAGATGTCTCACTAGGTGGTGTGTTCACAGAATTATCTTGTCTACAGAAATTAAAACATTTTGAATTTTTGTGTTGGAATTAGATGTTTTGAGGCAAAAGAATTTTAAATGTTTTTAATCTTTAAGAAAAATGGAAAGGGGGCTGGAATGAAGTATATATAATAATAATTTAATTATTTTGCTTCCGTCTCCAAAATTTTAGACTAGCAAAATTGTGCTGCTTATTGAGTTGGTACAGATCTTAATGGGGGGGAAGCGCTTGATTTTGTTTTAACTTATTTTAAGTTTCCTTTTGTTGATACCCATGGTAGAAAAACAAAACAGATCTGTTTTTTTTTTCCACAACACAGCCGTTGATAAGTCCAGTTTCAAAATGGTGCTCGATAGACGTCCTTGGAAGCCGGTAGGGGAGAAGGAACTCGTCATGTGACTGTGGTGTTCCTTTCTCTCTGCGGCATTGTACTGTTTCCCACCTCTGAACACCCCTTACCCCCAACTCATACAGCAGTGGGGAGTGACTCGGTATCCGTCATCGGTACTTGAAAGGAAGATGTTTACAGCTTTTTTTTTTCTTTTTTTGATTGCTGTGTTTGATTTTCAGTCTCCTCCCTCTTCCCTCTCCACTATCCCCTCCCCCCTCCCTCTTCAACTTTGTCCCTTAAATTTTCTCTTATGTAAAGTGTACATTACCATGTTTCTTTTTTATACAATACTGTAACTTGCCTTTGTACATTTAGGCAAAAAAAATAAATCTTTTTATGAGACAATCACACCTGTCCTTCACTGCCTGACTTTCTTCCACGGCTCAGGGAGGGAGAAATGGTGAGAACAGTAGAGGGACTTCTTGTGGGATTTTACAGTGGGACCCATCTGCGCAGGATTCCTTTCACTGGATACAAAAAGTCCTATTTTTTTATCACCCTCCTCTAACTGCTACTACCCCAGGATCTCCTTGATCTGAGGGGAGCAGTTCTAATATTTCACACCTCAGAAATCATTGTGTTCTTTTTGCTTTCTCACTATTAAGCCACAAGCTGCAATTTAAAAAAAATCACACGGTTTTATATTACTAATTACTGATTACTGAATATAAGTAACATTATTCTAACAGGAATGCTGGAGAGGAAAGTGCCAATCATTTTTAAAACCAGCCTCTTGTGTGGTTAAGAATTTCTACTTGTAATTGTAATCTCGGCAGATACCTTTTTAAAGCCTCATGTGATTCAGCTTCCTTGTTTCCTTAAACTACTGTTTTTGAAACCTGATAGTAGTGGCTTTACGAGAAAAGATGTTTATGTAAAGGGGAGAAAGGGTAACGATGACGTCCTGCATTCTTTAGGCTCTGTTCAGTCACCTCTGAACTGCTAGAACTGCAAAAAGTTACTATCAGAAGCTCAAATGTATTTCCTGATAAGGCCTGATCTGGTAACTTAGTCAATCAAGTATTTTAAGAGTTCATTTTGACTCTGGAGACAGATTTGATAATTCTGCACGTTATCATACTTCTTCTGTTTCACAGCCTTAGTCCCAGACTATCCTGGGGTCAGCTGCTTTGGTTGCTCTTCTCCATTTGTCTCTGT